ACTCACCATAGACTATTGGAACATCTGTTTTCCCCAGATAATCACAATTTTGTGTATCAGTCTTACTTTTCTTTCTGTTATCATCAATATAGTTTATTGATTTATTACGATCCAATATTGGTTTATTGCTATCTAATATTGTAATATAAAATGAAAACAGATTACACGCCAAGAAAATCAGATATATAAGAATATTTTGTAATAGCAAAAATATGTGTACCAAAATTAGCATTTCCTTGATGAAAACAATTTTTCATTTGGATCATTTGCTCATAATCTTTGATTAGTGTATCAGTCTCTGCATTGTTTTTATTGCGATCAGCGTCATTTTTTATGTTGCAATCTGATACTGAAATATGTATATACAAATAGGTCGAGTACTCAAATATAATAGAATTTATATTGATACTTTATAATTATAATATATAATTAATAATATATGACTGATTGTAATATATAAAGATATACTAGAAGACAGATAAAATATGTACTAGAAAATATTAATAATTTCTTAATCAATGTAATTTTTCATTTCAGAATCAATTTTGTTTTGTAGATACTTGCATCAGTAAAGACATTTTTTACAATATTATAAATAAATGTCGCGTAGAATAAAAAATAACTGATTCCGTGTTTGTTACCTGAGTTCTCTGCAGCAATCGTGAAAATAGTAGCATTTTTACGTGCTACTTTCTTATGTAGTTTCAATTTTGTTATTTTCACATTTCTTATTCTTATAGTATCAAATTTTTTGCACATAATATATGGTATACCTTTATGTATATTTTGTAATATTTGCTGTAATAGTTGTTTGTCATCTGTAATGTTAAAGAAAACAGTTATTGATTGGTACGTCCACAATGTTTATTTTCATGTTTATTTTTTAATCCCAAATAAATATAAATGGATAAAGCAAATAGAGTTCAAAATTAGATAACGTTAGAGTACAAGTATAAAAATAATATAAATATAAAAATAATGTTAATGTTTGTTATATTTATGCATTTATTTTAATATATATATTAACTTATTTTTAAACATGCAAACATAGGTTATGTTAAGTTTACATAATAAACTATATAATAAATTATATATATTAGACTTATAGAATAAAACACGAAAAACAAAAACTGTAGTTATAAAATACTACTTACCGTTTTTTCCTATAATGTTTGCTGGATATCTACGTCCATCACTATATTTGACTGTTGTTACATCTTTTTTAGCAATAATATTTTTAGAACTACACACATATTGTACATTATCAACAAATTTTACTAAGGCATACATGTTTCAAAGAAGGAAACTCAAAGAAATTGATTTAGTATGTAAAACTGCGAAATAACGTATCCTTCCACTTTTTCTCAAGATTAATAGCAATTTTTAAGATTTATCATCACCGAAACAGTTTAGAAAGGTAATAACCATGTTG